TTCCTCTCATCATTTTAAAATGATGAAAGTCATCTATTGCCATGACAACATAATACAGTGGTGAGGTCTTGCTGTTATGCTTCTTATTCAGAAGTGGTGTCTGTCAAGGCCATTTGAGCAAATATTTCTCATTCCCCTCCTATCGCTGTCTCTCTCACTTCCATTAACCAGCTCAAAATGAGATTTATAAACTGTCAGTAACAATGAGAGACAATGGTAGAATAAATCCCAGTAGTATCGACATACAGGAGCCTGAAGAACTCTAGTGGTGATCTCAACTGTGTGCTTGGTTTTAAAATGAGCCACTTAGCAGTTTCCCATTGTTCTCTAATCTGGATAGTATATTTGTGTAGAGCACAGACATTTCTAGCAGGAGACAGGATTAGAAACGGAGCTAATTCACTTTTCCCAAAACTGTCATATATAAATCCATGAAGATACAATATTAAGCTGTGCCATGTGGTTTTGCTTGTTAGTCATGGGGCTTCCCATACAGACAACGGGATGGCGTTTATGAAGAGTTTGTAGAGCTCCTCTGTCCAACTCCTCCACCCACTCACTGCCTGCCAGCTTCCTATTGTGAACCTGGCCCTAAGTCCTCACAGGTGATCCAGTCAGGCTTCCAGCTCTCCCAGGACTGCTCAGAAAGCCTTCCTTCAGTGGCAGTGTGCTGATAGCCTGAGGGAGGGAGGCTCAGCAGGAACTGCCGAGGACCACACTTGTATAAGGTCCTCTCACTAAGGAGATTCCCACTTCCCCTAGCAATTTCAGAGAGGGCCAGAGCTAGATGGATGGTATAGGACCATGGTTCATTCCTCAGGGTCCATCTGTAAACTAGAACTAGAGGAACATTTGCATGAGTCCACCACCCTACAGATCATGCCCTGCAGCAGAACATACCCTCATTTCAGCAAATGGTAAGAAGAGCCACTGTGTTTGGGTTATTTACTCAAGTACAAGTGAGGAGCAGAGCAGCCCACCCCCTGCATCCCCTTGGGAACTTGCTGGAGTGAATCCCAGGCTCCGTCCCTGGTCCTGGGAGCAACAGGACATCACAATGTTCTGCTCAGAGTCCAGCAGCTCCCTTTACCTCTCCTACCACAGAAAAGAACAGCAGGTCTCCTCCTTCCTCGCTTTCCACACTGGCCCCCACTCTCATTGCTTTCTCCTGCTGACCAGGTGTAGGAAACTCTTCCAAGGACTCACTTTCTAATGCTCGGGACAAATCTCAGTTACTTGTGGCCCCTGACATCTGCTGAGGCAGGGCTGCTCGAGGGCCTGAGGCCATGCCCTGTGACCTTTTTTTTTTTTTTTTTTTTTTTTGGGTAAAAGCCTGTAGGCTTTTTAAAATTAGAAAAATCCATATACAATACAATTTACCCATTTACTGAGTACAGTTCACCAGGGAGATTGCATATTCATTTCCTTTAAATTATGGTTAAAAAAAAAGAAATTTGCCATTTTAACCATTTGGGGGCACTGATTGTCATCGTTATTTGTTTGTAAAACTTTTCTGTCGTTCCAGCCCAATATTCTATGCCCATTAAATAAGTTTACATTTTTCTCTGCTCACCCCTCCCCAGACCTCTGGTATCTATGATCTATTTCCTTTTTGTTTGCCTATTCTAGATATTTTGTGTGTTGAATCATGCAGAATTTGTTTCTGGCTTATTTTATGTGATATTTTCAGGGTTCATCAATGTTTCTGGCTTATTTTATGTGATATTTTCAGGGTTCATCAATGTTTTAGTGTATTATCAGAACTTCACTCAAGGAGCTGGAGAGATGGTACTTACTACCCTTTGGTGGACTTACACTCTATCCCTAGAACCTGTATCAGGAGGCTCACAACCTCCTGAAACCTCTGGCTTCTATGGGTACCTGCACACACATGCACATACACAATTAAGTACAATAAAAAATTTTTAGAAAGGAATTTCAACCTTTTGATTGACTAGAATCCATGGTATGGGTATGCTAGGTTTCATTTATCCAGTCACCTGTTGGTGAGTGCTTACTTTGTTGTTCTGTCTTGGGTGTTATGAACAACACTGCTGTGGGACATTGAGATAATAATCACTGTTTGAATCCCATTTCCATTGCCTTTGATAATATGCCTAGGAATTGCATTGCTGTGATAACTGTGTTGGGCTTTTTTGAAATGCACTAGACCTCTGGGTTTAAATTTATTATAAGTGAGGAATGTGGGTCTTTATTAGTTAAAATGCACCTGGTTCTATCTGTTAATGTGAAGAGCTGCAAATGTGTGGCCAGTTCATTCCTGGCCTTCTTTTGGGTTCTTAACAATTATCATCTGGAAGAGTCCTGTGACAGTTAATCATGGATGGCTTTGTGACTCCATTATTCTAACTGGTTATTGAGAGCTTTTACTGTTTAACTTGTCGTGTTGTTGTACCATCTCCCACTGGGCTTTTCATCTTCTCGAGGACAGGGGCATGTTTCTTTACCTTTGTGCAGCTATTCCCTGTGGCACTGACTGAATCTGTAGAGCTCCAAGATTCCAAACTAATGGCATGTCATGTCTTTGCTCTCAATCTTCTGGCTCAGCACAGACTAAAGAAGAACCTCTTCAGCAAGCCCTTCCCTCTTTGTGCCTGGTGAGATTCTGTGCAGCTTGCTTCCCTGTTATCTCGGGGAGCACAGCTGATGAGAGTACACATTGAATGTCCTTTATCCAGAAGGCTTGAGACACCAGGTGTGGTGCTACGTGCCTTAAATCCTAGCACTCAGGAGGCAGTCTGGACTATAGAGTGGATCCCTGTGTTTTTAAAGGGCTGGGACAGAGCCTGCCCAGGTCTAAGGAGATGCCCCCCCCCCCACTGAGGGAGGTGGACAAAAGCCCTTCCCTAACTCAGCCGCTGTTTCCAACTGATAACCAATGAGAGGAAGAATTTCTTCTCCAGGAGAGCCTCGCTTACAGGCAGGCCCACACCAGCGCTAGATGGCCACCACTAAACAAACTCTGTGGTATTTGGAGAGGACTTTTATGTCAGAGGGGTTTGTCTGGGCATTTTTTTTTTCCTTACAAGTCTTTTGCTAATATATTATAGTATCTGATTTTGTATTTTTGTGGGATTTCTGGGGAGAAGGGAGCATGTCTCTGCATCTGTGTGTGTTTCTTGTTTTTTAGGGGTTTTTTCCTGCTTATTTTTCCTATTCTAATTTGTTTGTATGGCTGTTTTGTTTTTGTTTCTTGGTTGTCTAATGAGAGAGAAATGGTTTGGATTTGAGGATGTGAAGGAAGTTGAGGGAAGAAAAACCATGATCAGAATATATTACATAAAAATCTACTTTGAATAAAATTAAAATTGTTTTTAAAAAGACTTGGTGGCGCACGCCTTTAATCCTAGCACTCAGGAGTCAGAGGCAGGCGGATCTCTGTGACTTTGAAGCTACCCTGGTCTACCCAGAGAAACCCTGTCTCAAACACCCCCCCCAAAAAAAAAAGACTTGAGACCAGAAATTTCAAATTTTCTCATGTGCATACCCTCTAAAGGGAATTTTACACAATTATTCTTAGTGTGCCTGCTTTCTGACCTCAGCCTGTCACATCGTCAGACATGGGATTTTCCACTTGTGATATCATGTCAACACAAAAGGGTTTATCTTTGGGAGCTTTTATAACTTTGGATTCGAGCAGCTCATCCTATATACGAATAGTGATAGTACTAAGTCCCAAGAACAGCCTGTGACACAGGTTCTGTTGTCATGACCCATATTATTGCTGTGTAGACAACTAAATCCCTCAGAAATTGATTCCCAAGGCCCTGTCATCAGCATGTACTGAAGTTAAACATCTGACTGGAAACCCATGTTCTAACCGACAGCCCCAGCAGGGACCTTCTGCCCTAACCCAGGAAGGATAGGTGTATGGCCACTGAAGGAATGGCCCAGCCCCGACATGCTGGGTGTCAGGAGCAGGGCCAGGTCCCCAGAGCCTTCACCCCACTGCCCGTCCAGCCTCTGTAGGTCTACAGCCCTACTGACCTACTAGCCTTCTGCCCAGCTGCTCTTAAAAGTGCCCACTTCCCTACTCTCCCTGCGGTGATAAGACACTCATATTGGGAATAGCCTGGCCTGGGTCTGTGCATTAGTCAAGAGTCTGGGGTAGGAGGATTACTGAAAATTCTATCAGATTCTATAAATACTAGCTCTTTCTCCTATCAGATTAGCTGGAAAGTGGCCATCTTGTCTAGGCAATTGTTATTTCTTAAAATAACTGATCAGTGTACAAAAATAAATGAACATCCACTTTTAAACCCTTGCATAATGCGTAGTAAGTTCCACGTCTGCCATCCCAGCAGCCTATCACCAAGCCTCAGGCAGATGGAATTGGTTCCCAGAGGAACCACAGGAGCATAAAACTCTGTGAAAGCAAGTGCTGGCCAAGAGCCACCCCAAGCCTGCTCTTCCCCATTTCCAGGTAAAGTCTCAGAAGATCAAGACCTGGGGTTGGGGTGCACTCCCTAGTGGCATTGGCACCTAGGAGACTTGCCTTTAGAGCTCAGGACAGTACTGTCTCCCGACCTTGGCCCAGAGAATGGGAACTCTGCAGAAGGCCAGACCAGGCCATCCCTAAAAAATGGGTACCCAGAGGTCCTAGGTAGCCTAAACACAACCACTCAAATTCAATTCAATTTCTATTTCTCGGAGTTTCTGAATGATGATGCTGAGATCTTCAGAGCCTCACTCGTTCTAGCCCTCCACCAGCATCCTGGGTCACTGGACAACTCTTCCCTTCCTGCTTACACTATGTTGATTCCCACAGGCCCAAACCCCAGACTCAGGGCCCTCCTCTGCCTGCCTAGTTCATTGCTCAGACAGACACCAGTTCTAGTGGTCAGAGGGGTTGCCACCGAACTCTAATGAATCTGCCACATAGGGACAGCCCAAGCCTACCTGTAATTGTCCCGCTCGGCACCAGTGTGCCTAGTGCCAGGCCCAGCCCACAGTTCTAACTTCTCCCCTTAACTTTGCAGCACGGTCTCCAAGCAAAGAAAAAATGTCATCAGCTGTGTCACAGTCCACGATTCTCCCTACTCCGACTCCTCCAGCAACACCAGCCCCTACTCGGTGCAGCAGCGAACAGGGCACAATGGCACCAACACCTTGGACACTAAGGGGGGTCCAGAGAATCACTGTACCGGCAACCCCCGCACCATCATCGTACCCCCCCTGAAGACCCAGGCCAGCGAAGTGTTGGTAGAATGTGACAGCCTAGGGCCAGGTAACCTGGGACCACAGCAAGCCCGTACCATTTCTCTGCTTTTCCTGTTTTCTGCTATTAGAAATGCTAGTACTAGTGAAACAAAAAGTACCTAATTATTTCCGATGACCTATGTTGTGTACATGGTTCTGTGGAATTCTGCTATATCATAGAATATCATCATGTTCTATAGAGAACATTTTCCTCTTGAAATCCTGGCTGTTCTCATGGTGGCTCTGCTTCGGTCATGGTTGGTAAACAGCGTAAGCACCTCATTTCCTATCAGCTGGTCTGGGCATCCTGACGTCTTTCTAGGGGCCCCACTAATAGAGCAGGTGTGCTATGGAGGAAACACTTCCTCTGAGCTTGCCATATGGGGGGTCATGGACCCTTTCTTTATCAGGACTTTTTCTTGGGCACAGACATGTGAGCTGAGTGCATTTCTCTCAGTTTTGTTTAAAGAACTAACATTCCGTGAGGGTTGTTCTGAAAATTGCACCCTAGCAGGAAGCTGGTGAGCTGAGCCTTGGAAATGAGCACAGCTGTCCACCACCATGGGCTTGCGCAGCAGCATCTCTTCAGGGTTTCCATCTCTCGGACTCACACGGAAGAATTGGGAGACTAAGTCAAAAGGGTCTGCTTTTCTGCCACATGCTGTCATCAGCTTCAGTCAGGCCAGGCAGCATCTTCATGTCAGGAAGGGACACACTGTCAAAGCTTTGTCTAAAATGAGAAGCTGTTGTTCCTTGGTGGGGACCCCTGTCTGTCACCTGACATAGCAACAAAAGATACCTGAGATTACCCTGGAAGATACGGGTTCTTCTTTGCTGGTTACAGCATTGCCAAGCCTAGAAGATACAGACAGGCTGCTGGGGTACCACCACTCAAGGTGCAGAGCAGAATTCAAGATGAGATCTCTAAGGGTTCCCCAGTCCCCTGATGCAGCCAGCCTGCAATACTTCCAGTGTTCATAGCAAGCCTGTGACCAGCCCCCCCTTTTTATACCAAGAACTATATGCCTAAAAGGAAATGGAAACCGGCTTGGGCCTCTTTCTCCCTCACCACCTGACTGGGGGTGACCCATGTGTGGGATGCTCACAGGTCTCCTTGTCAGGCATTCTCAGGTACCCCCCAGCTACCTTCTTCAGAAGACAGGCTCTTTAAAAACATCTGCCTGGCACCCAGCCACTGCTGCTCATTTTATACCCTAGCTGGTCCCAGTCTGTGGGGTTGATGGTAGTTACAAAGTCCATGCTGTAGCGGTGAGAAGCAGAGTAGGGCCCACAGTGCCCTGGCTAAGAAATAGCATGAGGCTGCTGAGCTGCTCAGTAAGGGGGTTGTGCATATGGAGTGAACCCCACTCTAGTAGAACTTCATCATAACTCCACAGCTACTGTGATTTCCAAAGGAACTGCAAGAACACTGAGGCTCTCAGACTAGCCCGGGGCCATGCAGCTAGCCTCTCAGGAGCGGTCTGCAGCTTCCAGTGCTCTAGGTACATTTGCACACACACTGCTTAAATGAGGGTCTGTTCCCTCACAGCACAGGCTCTACATTAGGATAGTGATGGTCCCTTGCCACCTCTGCAAAGGAAGTCACTACCTGAGTCTCTTGACCCTTTCAGGACCTTCCTACATCCAGGGCTCTTCCACTCTAACAGCCTGACCCATTCTGACCCAGTCCCTCATGTTGTCACCACAGTAAAGGTAATTGGTGGGACACCAGGCTCTTTCTAACATTGCCATTTTGCACACCCAAGCTGTAGATCCCTTGAACTAATTGATTCTCCCTCTAACATACCTACAAAGTTTCTAGGATGCTGAACTAGAGCAGAGACCTGCTCCTGATCTGTCACCAGCAGGGAGGAGCTTGAGTCCAGCACACAAGCTCCTGGTTCCTAGAGGGAAAGGAAGCCCTGCTGTAGCCAGGGCTTGCAGCTTTGTTTGACCGCATATCTAGTCCTCAAAGACCCAGGTATGGACTGGGCTTTGAGAATCCAACTGGCTTAGCTTGGGCACTGAGTCCTAAATGTCATCTGCTCCACTAGTGCCTGGCTTCTCTGGATTCCTGGGAAGCTCAGTACACTAACCCCAGCACCTCCAGGGGGACTCTCACACAGAGGGTAAGTGGGAGAGGCCTTGGTGCCAGTGCACAGTCAGATTTAGGGACCTCTTTCTGGGACCCACCATCTCCTTCCCAGCAAATCAGATCTCCCCTTACTTGAGGCTGGGATCTCTTGAGAGGTAGGATGGTCCCTCTGCCTTCTGCATATGCCGTAATCTGCTGTCTCCAGGGTCCCGGTGTGCCTTCATCCCCCTAGAGCCAGTGCCTTTGATGGAACTCTTCTCCCATCATCACGGGTTGCCTTGGGGTTCTCAAGGCTGACTTCATTGCCCTGGAATTTGTCAAAAAGTTGACCCAGCCCAAGTCATTCACAGGCCCCATCTTTTATTATACATGGTTCCTTATCTGCCCTAAGAATGAGGTGTAGACCTGTATTTTAGTCAATTCCAGAACTCAACAAAGGGAATGAATCATTACTACAAAACACAATGTGACAGTGCTCAGAGGGACTTGGACTGGCGGAGATGAGAGGGTTCAACGGTCTTCTCCTCACAGCATGCTCCCTCCCACCTTGGGCAAAGCACTCCTCGGGCTTGTAAGAGAATCAGCATCGGTCTCTACTGCCCATCTCCTTGCTGGCGTTGCATTCCTGCCTAGACTGGCACTTGGTTGGCCTGGGGCAGTGGGAGGCAGGCTGTCCTTCAACCTTCAAACCAAAGCCATTTTCTTCTCAACTAATTCCTCTCTGTTCTTTAGCTTTTAAGGAGTACAATTAATATGTTAACTGTATGCTAATTGTGGCTTTTAAACCATACAACACCAATAGTACAGTTTACTGGGCCCTTTTGTTCCTGCGGGGATTCAAATAGGACACAGAGGAGGTATCTGGGGCCTTCTCCCGACTGTTTGCTGAGGCTCTTGTGCAGGTTTGCATCTGGAGACACACAGTATCACCTCATGACTGTCCTTGTTGCTTGCCTCAATAAAGAGGTTATAGCTAAGCCAAGTGTGGTGACACACGTCTCTAAAACCAGCACAGAAAAAGCAGAAACAGGAGTGTTGCAAGTTTGAGGGCAGCCTGGGTTACATAATGAAGCCTTATCAAAATCAAGAGGGGAGAGGAGAGGGCCATGGCCTGGCCATTTAGGTGCTCTTCTTTATATTCGGGGAGTGAAGGTCTCACCCCTGCCCAGCTGAACAATTCAGGCCTATCTTGCCCAACAATTAGCACCTCCCTGCATCCCCTGCCTTGATGCTCTGTGGTGCCTCTGATTACCACACTCACCCCATCTGCTCCTGTGTGGTACATGGTCACAGTGGCTGGCAGACAGCAGGTGCTTAGAACTTACCAGCTAGGTTAAGACAGCAGACTTTAATAATGCTTTGGGCTCCCTTAGTCGGGCACTTAGAGCCATCTAATATGGGTATTACCTTTCTCAGTCTCCTTCCCACCCAGCAGCATTGCACCCAGGATGTGCCAGAATGCAGACTCTCATGCCACCCCCAGCTGCAAGGCTCCCTTCCTGCCTGGAGAGAGTCTCTACATTGTCAGTAACAGCTGGTATTTCAGCCACATTCGGTTCTTAGGCCACTCCCTGGGAGAGCTAGTCTCATCCTGCCTTGGTTCTGGAGAGCTGCAGGGTTATTGCAGCTTCTGCTGTTCACCCCAGTTGTTTGTTAGGGCCATCCCTTGGCATGATCACGTCTAATCCCCTTGGCTACCCAGAAGGGATCCAGGCAGGCCTCCTTCCTTCCACACACCTCCCAGGTATTGCTATACATTTGCCATAGAGGACCAGTGTGGGGCCCAGCTTGGACCTGTGCCTTTACCCTGGGTTTTGTTACTCCCGTCTCCCTCATTTGCAACTCCAGCCCAGTATGCAGCCGAAGGCCAGAGCCCAACTGCCTCTCCAGAGTCAAGGTGAATGAATGCCTGACCAGGCCCAGGGACTGAGTGATTCATGCCTGAGCAGTCTCAGGAACATGTCCTTCCTGGAAGGCTATTGTTTACAAGGGGAGGGGGCAGGTCTTCTAGATAGCCAAGGACATGCCGCTAACCTATGACCTCTCCACCCTCCTGCAGCCGTTAGTACCAGTCACCATTCATCCTCCTTCAAGTCCAAGTCCTCCAGCACCGTGACCTCCACCAGTGGCCACTCTTCAGGGAGCTCATCAGGAGCCATCGCCTATCGGCAGCAACGCCCAGGCCCCCATTTCCAGCAGCAGCAGCCCCTCAATCTCAGCCAGGTAAACCTCAGCAGCCTAAGGGGCCTTGATGGCTTATTCCTATGCTAGACCAACCCTGGGAAAGGTGGTATCACTGGTTCAGAGAGCCAACCCAAGCAAAGGGAAGATAGAGTACTTAATGACATGGTGCCAGAGCTGACTTGCTGGTCAGATGACCCACATGGGCCCACAAAAAGGTGGGCATAGTGACCTGCCATTGCTCTGGGTCACCAGGCTAGCCCTGAAGTTGCCTCACTGTAGGAAGTCCTCGCAGTCAGCACCCCAGACCCATGGATAATGTACCCTACGACTTGCTCAAGTGCCCCAGTGGTTTGGGTTCTCTACAGGAGAGAATGCTCTTTGTTTGGATTGGTTCTAGAGGTCACCAGTTTTAGAGTGAGATTTCACAACATGTGGGAAGGCAGTCACTACTCAGAGAGAGAGAGACCACTTCAGTAGAACGTCCACTGGCTTTGTGGACTGGCTGAGTGTCGCCCTAGTCTGGTGACTTGCCAGGCAGATGTTACTTTCCCAATCCAAACAAATGTTTATGCTCTCTGCTTTTGAAGGGAGGCATCTGTTGTCAGTCTTGATTTCCTTCTCCTTCCCCTCCTCCCCCTAACACAGTCCTTCTGCTACTTTTCCTTCTCAGGCTCAGCAGCACATGGCTACAGACCGGACTGGGAATCACCGTCGACAGCAGGCCTACATCACTCCTACCATGGCCCAGGCTCCATACACCTTCCCGCACAACAGCCCCAGCCATGGCACTGTGCATCCCCACCTGGCTGCTGCTGCCCACCTTCCTACCCAGCCTCACCTCTACACCTATACAGCACCTACAGCCCTAGGCTCCACCGGCACCGTAGCCCACCTGGTGGCATCCCAAGGCTCAGCACGCCACACTGTGCAGCACACTGCCTATCCGGCCAGCATCGTCCACCAAGTCCCTGTGAGCATGGGGCCCCGGGTCCTACCCTCACCCACCATCCACCCCAGTCAGTATCCGGCCCAGTTTGCCCACCAGACGTACATCAGCGCCTCACCAGCCTCCACCGTCTACACTGGATATCCACTGAGTCCTGCCAAGGTCAACCAGTACCCTTACATATAAACACAGGAGGGGCCCGCAGGGAGCGGGGTGGAGGAGCTCCCAACAGACCCAGGGAGCTGGATTTTTATACTGCAGGTGCCGCACACCAACAATGCAAATGGGGCAGGACGGGGGGAGGGGGAGGGACACACAGTTGGGACACAGATGAAACTTGAACTAGGAAGTGGGAGGACTCAGAGCAGAGCAGAGAACATTTTAGAAGGATTAGGAGTGGGAAATCTATGCTTTTTATTTTAAAAAAGAAAAAGGAAAAAAAGAAAAAGAAAAAATGTTAGTAACAAAAGAGGAAAAAAGAAAAAAAAAACAGCTCAAAACCCATTCTGCACCAAACTGGAAAGGAAAAGAGGAGCTACAGGAAGATTCTGGAAGCAAGGGGCCCCAGTGTTTGAAGAACTTTATGAACTTTTTAAAGATTATTTTCATAGGGCAGCAAGTGACACTGAAGAATTTGCTGTCAGGGACACCTGATGTGGAAATCCAATAGATTTTTAATTAATTGAATATGAAAATTAGGGATTTTTCCAGAACTCCAAAAGGGTCAACACCCCTTTCAAATGTCAGGCCATGGCCTGAGGAGGCTCATATTTGGGGGATGGTCTGGGGTTGGCAAAGCCCAATTCTGGCTCATTTGTCAGGAATAGTGGGGTCAGCCAGACTGATGGAAAACCCCTCAGGAGAGAGGCGGGTTTCCTCTTTTGGGGCATTCTGGATAAATCTCTCAGCAATGTTATTCCTCAGATGTCATTAGTAATGTGTGTTGCAGTCTTTAATTATTTTTCTTTTCTGAGATTTTATTTTCTCTTTGAATCAACCCCTAGTCTTGTAGCATAGGGCTAGTGGTCGTCGTGGACACCCTAGTAGAATGTAGCACTCTGCGCCCTTGCTTCCTACCTTGTGTTCAACTCCAGTGATACCAATAGACTATTCCTCAATATAATTGCACAAAAAAGTGATATAACATAGGCATGGAACCAATGTGGTGGTCTAAGCGAGCGAGTGAGTGTGCATGAGCACGAGTGGGTGTGAGCGGGGCTGCCACCCTCCCCGTGTGTCCCTTGGCACCGCCGTTACAGCCCTTGCCGTCTTGATTTTACATCATTCCCTCCTAGTGCCTTAACGACCGACAGACAGACAGACAAGGTGAAGGGTTTACTTCCACTGGTACTCCAAGAAACTGGCTGGGCCTGGTCAGATATGTTCTCAGCTCTTGTGTTAAGCTGTCAGAGTATTTTACTTGGGTCTTCTTGTTTTTGTATCGTTTTAATGTCATGTGGATTGTCTTTCCTGGGCTCTTTGTGAGCAGAGGGTTTCAAAGAAGCTTTCGTAACTAAATGGGGAGAGTTGTGGATCTCAAGTGGCATGTGGGAGCAGGTGGGGCAGCCTGGTGACAGCGGGCTCTTTTGCTGAGTTTTACTCTGAGGGCAGAGGTCTAGAGAGACACCCAGCTCCTCCCACCCCCAGCTCTGCCACACATGGCTCTAGGGGGTCTTTAGGAAGGTCAGCTCTGCCAGGCAGCTGCCTCACCTCCAAGCCCACCTCCTCCTTCCTGGAGCCATATGGGGAAAGGCAGGAGACCTGTTCCCATTTCTGGTTACCTCCCCAGTCCCTCCATCCCACAAGAAGCCTGGTTGTCTCTGACATACCCACATGTCTCTCCACCAGCTCCAGGGACTGAGATCGGGCCCCTAGTGTCACCAACTCTCCCCTACAGGCCTCTATGGCGAGTTTGCTGTTGCTTTTTTCCTGAAGTTAACCTAGGTCTCCCAAAACACTTTGATCTCTGACCTTGAGAGATACAGCAGGCAGAGGGGCTGGGGGGGACATTTGGGGAAACACTCCCATGGACAATTAAGCCTCCAAAGAAATCTGCCCTGTACCCTCTTTGCACCTTTGCTATGTTCCGGGTGTTTTCTCCAGCTTTGAACAGTGAAGTGGGTAGGAATTTTCTGTTCCTTTGGGAGCCTCTGAAGCCGTGGAGGTGGGAGACCAGTCAGGTCCAGGATGGGACACAGTAGCATGGCATGGACTGTTTGGTCCAGGTGTAAGTCCTAGCTGGCCCCTAGTCCACATCTTTGGGTAAAAGGTCTCTGGCCAGCAGTCCAGTCTCCCCAGTCTCCCTCCCTGTCTTCCCTCTGCAGGCCCTGAGCAATGTACTGTGAAAGGCTTTCCTGGTGATAACTGCCCTCCTTCAGTAACAAAGCTTACTTAGCTTTTAGCTGTGAAAAACTCTGGAAACTTCCCCACCCATCGATTCTTATAAAGTCCCCAAACTGGATTTGTCTTAGTGCACCTCGGGCCAAAAGAAGAGATGTTAGAGCCCAGCAAGGCCAAAGCCAGCTCCAGCCCAGGGCTTGCTGGAAGTTAGACAGCAGGAGAGTCAGTTCAGATGAGTGGGGAGCAGAGCCTTCGGAGAACCCCGGAGCCAGAGGCTCCTAGAGCCTCACCAGCGTGGAAATCCATCTGTCACAGTTTCCAGCATCCAGATGGCAGCTGTTTCCCATGGGACTTTCTCATTCTGTCACCAGGCAGCTAGTCCTGACTGAAAGTGGGCCTGGGTTTGCCTTGCTGTGTGGCAGCATCTGGAGGGCCAGCGTGTTCTAGAGCTGGTCTTCTAGGGGTGACTCTGCTCTTCCAGCCCCTCATGTCTGCTTACATTGAAGCTCCTCACTCTTCTGCCCATCATGCTGTCCCCTTTCTCCTTCCAGATCAACAATGAACGTTCCTTGCTGCTCATAATTTAGTATTATTGTACTGATTATTTGTGTTATTGCCACTGTAATTATGATCATTATCACCTTGTTACTATTTTAGTCAGGGTTTGAAGTATACATTTATTCCAAGTATCTTTGTGTGTTTTCTTCATAATATTTAAATTTATTTTATTATAGCTGTGAGTGTATGAATAGACTGGAGGGACATACAGGTGTCCAGTCTTGTCAGAGGAAAAGAAAAAAAAGAGAGAGAGAGAGAAAGGAAAGGCCCAGAATTAGGAAAATTGTTTCTGTCATCTCTGCCACAAAGAGCTACAAGGAAAGCCCACTGCAAAGCAGAGATTCAGATGCATTGGGTCCTTGCCTGCGCTGCCCCGACGGGTACACAGCCACTGTTGGTGTGATGTCTTCTGGACCCTGTGGCAGCTTCTCCCATTCTCTGTGCCTGCCTCCATGTCTGAACTACTGACCAGATTCTAGCCTGCCACACATCTGACATTTATCGTGAAAAGGCCCCTCTGTCAAAGCTTCCCCTAACCTTTACTTTCCTGTCAACCGAGTTAGAGTGCGGCTTACCTCCCTCAATGCAGAGACAGTGGTCCCACCCAAAAGTCCTTAGGTGTAGTGAGGGTTTGAGGCAACCAGTGCCTCCTTGTGAGATATTTTGGCCTCATTCTGTCCTTCTGCTCAGTTGCCACCTTACCCATTTCCCTAGAGTCTGCCTCTTCCCCAGACACCCTCCCAGTACACGATTCTAGGGAGCCCAGGAAAGGGATGGGACACAAGAGAGCCCCAGGCAAAGTGCAGCAGCTGCTCAGACCTGCAGGGTCCCTTCCAAATCGCTGGCAGGTGAAGGGTACAGCAGGACTTGTAGCCACCTCCTTCCCATTGTGCTCTGGCTGTGCCCTTCAGTGCCTGCATTGTGGCGATAGGTGTGTACACACTACCACGGTCGCTCAGAAACAACCAGGCCCCTGTGAAGGAAGGACTGAAGCACTAGCTTCCCCAGACAGACCTGACCTCAAGCCCATGTACAGAACAGATAGACACATCAGGAGTCACACAAGACCCCAGCTAGTGGCATCCTCACCTCAGTTCCCACTGAGGTGCTCAGCACATCCATCTGGGGGGAAAAAAAAAAAAGGAAGGGAAGGAAGGCTTCTGTCCTTAGGACCACACTCTCAATGGAAGGAGGCCGCTCAGTCCCTGGAGCATCCCTGGGTGTGCTTTAATGAGGAAACATGGCTCAGTATGAGGAAGGTGAGAAGGAAAAAGGTCTGAGGCACCTCGTGACCGTCTGGGCCTCGGCACCCAGGTCTCTGTGTTCATGTGTCGGGTGACGTTTTAGGAAAGCAGATGAGCAGGCCAGTCAGTGGGTGGCAAGGCTGGTGTTGGTGTCAGTTGACCCTGTGAAGTGGATGTGGTTGATATGATTTGGAGGAGATGGGGTGGGGGTGGCCCAGTGCCTCCGGACTGTATGTGAGTTTCTCTCCTTCCTGGTGGCAAGGCTGCGTTCTGCTATAAGAGCCAGCGTGGCTTTGTTCCCTTTGTCTCTAAGGACTGGAGCTGACTGACCACAGTGTGGAGCAGGTCAGGAAGGGGGGTCAGCGCAGCAGATAGGGCCTCCCTGGACCAGGGCTCAGGAGTTGTAAACACTCATTTTTGAACCATGTGTGGTGGAGGAATGGGTTGGGTGTTGTAATGAGTGGAGTTAATGTCGAAGAGGCTTAAGGAAGTGTAACTGGAGGTTCATGGTAGTAAGGGTGATTAGTCCCCACTCTGTCCCTCCCTCCCCAGGTTCTCAGCAGCTGGCTGAGGGCAGGGTAGGATGTGGGCGTGGCTCTTGCTGGCCTGCCAAGTAGCTGATAGAACAGAAGACAGAAGAAACAGCTTGATGCCCTCTGCTAGCAAACAGAGTTCCATAAGAGGCAAGGTCTCCTTCCGTGGCCAGCCCGAGACCTCACAACCCCCAGCCAGCCATTGTGCCACAACACATTCCAGCCCAGGTTCTCACAGGCTCTGCTCTGCTCCTCTTTCCTGTTTTCCCTCTCATGTGCTTTATAGATTTCCCATGGGGAAGCCTCACAATTAAGTAGGCCAGAGATGCCCTTACAAATTAGAAAGGAAAGTAAAACTGTCCCTTTCTATAGCCAAAGAACCCTCTCAAAGACACCTCTCGAGATGGACAAGTGTCCCCGATCCTTTCTGGGCAATAGTGACTTCAGTGATGCAATCCCATTTACACTTCCTCTCTATCCTCTCTCTCTCTCTCTCTCTCTCTCTCTCTCTCTCTCTTTAATTTCACTGCATTTATTTCAAAACCACTCATCTTTAAGAGGAGTGGAGTAGTGGTCCTAAACGCTGCTATTCCCAGGGAGCTGAGGCCCCTACCATGCTCATTTGTGCTTAACTGATATCATACTACTATGGGGAGCTAGAGAGCAAGCAAGTAGGCCTTCCCTGGTGACCCACGCTGCATCTCAGGCTAAGGACGCACAGGACTGGCTTGAGATAGCAGTATCTATCCACTTGCCTATTCTACAAGCAGTCAGTACTCAGACAAATCCGTCGAGCCACTAGAGAACCAAAGATGGCAAAATGAGGCTTACTTAATTGCACAAGAAGCCTCACGAACACTTTGGCACTATGGTTCACTGTAGTGACCAACTGAGGAAAGGCTTCCCCAGTTTTTGGGGTAGTGCATGAGAGGGTAGCTCCAGGCAGTCTCTTTCCTCCAGCTCAGAGTTTCCAGAAAGGAGATCCTGGAGGGTCCCTGTCACAGATGCCCCCCCCATCCTGTCAGGGTCCCTCATCTCAGACCCAGACAGGAGGATATTATTCTGATTGCTTCTTGCTGTACACTAGTAGTGTCCCCTCATGTAAGGACTCACAGACCCCTCACAGCTACCTACCCCTGGCAAGAAGTCAACAACCCCTATTTGACAGATGGAAAAGCTGGCCCTCTGAGAATGTGGCATGTGTGAAAGGGAAAATATAATACAATGCAGAATCCCCGGGTTCCTATTCCTATTTTTTGTTAAGGAGACTTTACTGGTGTGAAATTGTTTCCCTGTTTCACTAGCTGCCGTGAACAGCCGCTCTCTAATGAGTCATTCAATGACCCTCCTATTCCCTGTGTGCCAAACACTGTGCTAAGAATTGCTGGATGAGCCCCATGACACCAGCCATGTCAATACCTGTACAGATGGAGCTTAAAGAGCCTGTAACCTGCCCAGGCCACCCAGCCAGTGAGAAGGGAACTGAAGGCTTGACATTCTATCTGCTTGGTTCTATAGGAGCTCACGACACCAGCCTCAGCTGCCTCCCTGTGGAGCAAGCACGGTCTCCCTGTCAGTGGGTCTGTGCAAAGAGGGTTCCTGGATGGGATGCAGGTCTAAGAGGGAGAGTTTGACTTTAAGAAAACTCCGGGGAGTTCCTCTAGATTCCTAGAGATCCTTTCTGGTTTCTTCCCAGCAACTAGCTTTAGTCATGCTGGGAACTCTCATGAGAGTGAAGGGAAAGTGTTCTTTTTTAAAAAAAATAAAAATAAATAAATGGTTTTTCTTGCTTATAGTTAATCCTAGAAAGGCAATACTAAAATATATTTTTTTTTCCAAAATGCTATTTTTTACTGTACTTGATAAATACCCTGACAGCTCTGGTCTCTGTACTAGACCCTCTCTTCAGCCCTAGACAGAGCCAGGAGCCAGGTTCACGCCAGATTTGTAAATACCATTTGGGTCTGTGGCCAGGAACTTTTTTTTTCTATGAAGAAACAAACAAAAACAAAAAAGAAGAAGGTGAGGAGAGGGCGAAGGCAAGTTGGGAAGAGGGACAAAATCAAACTTTCTTGCAAGAGACACTCTTCTCAAAGAGATGGACAAACATAACGGAGTGAAGCAGCCAAGCCAGGAGTGAGAAAGAGGTGCCTCTGGCTGCAGTGAGCTTGGGAGCTCTACAGCCACAGTTCAGTTCACTGAGAGATGACAAAAATCTAGAAATGCTCTAGGACTAGATTTTAACTTCTTAAAACTCCTAGTGTGCACTCTAAGTTTCTACTCACTTGTTTTGGTTGGGTTTCTTGTTTCTCTTTCTTTTAAAAATGTCTTTACTAACTGGCTCCAGGCTTGTTTGCCTAAATTCCTAGGTCGTTTACACAAGTTCTAAATTCTTCTAGAACTTTAACTCCATTGGAAGCAAACCGACTAGTGCAGATCTGAGACCCTGTTTGGTGGCAGTAGGTGTTCTGGGGCTCCAGTAGACCACCTCGAAATGTTTTCAGAAGGTTTTAGATAACATTATCTTACACAAACTGTGACCTAATGGCAATAATTACCTCAAATGTGGGCATTTGTCCTGGTTTTAGCCTTTTTTGAAATCATGTAGCCAGCTTGATCTTGTGATTTAAAAGACTATGAATTCTCTGCGGGCTGAAAGTAAGGATTAATGCATACCCTGGTCACTGTTGCTGAAGTGAATTCTGAGACTAGCTCATCATTACACCAGAAGCGGAACCAAGGAAGAGATGATTCTCTGTGTCATAATCAATGTGACTTTCAAGTACACATGGAGCAGGTTTCTCGCTACAGTAACACGCCCTTTGTTTTCTCCAGTATCAAGTAAACTACACAGTTGACTGTGGAGAGATACTCAAGCATATTTCTGGCTACATTTTATAGAAAGTATTTTATAGTTTACATTTAACCTGGTACTTTTTAAAAGAAACTTGTTTATAACTGGCATCTTCAACCAGAGCGATTGATTGACTGTTGTGTTAGAAGCTGTGTCTCCCCTAAGCAGGCATGTTCCACTTACTCTGTTCTGCAGCCTGGTATGTGCGTTTCCTTTATTGCTGCTTTTCAGTGAAGCTGAGAGTGTGTGTAGGAAAGTCTAGAGGGAGTGGGAAGGGGGAGTCCCGCGCTGTGCTGTGCTGTGCTGTCTCAATACTTCTTGTCAAGACCTTCTTGACAGCATGGAGGGGCAGTGAGAAGTGACTCTGCTTCATCAGTTTTTGTCTTGATTTTAATGCTTCCTGTGTAACTACATCACTGGCTCTCACAGCTCTGAAGGTATGCTCACTGTTTCTGGGGCCCCAGTGAAACTTTGGTCCGCATTTTGAGAGGGAGACCCCTATGCCATAGTCACTGGCTGGATTTTGCACATATCACTGTTTTAGCCATTTTTTTCTCCTTAAAGTAAATTCCATGTAAAATGATGTGTGTTTGAATTTACCCATTGTCCAGCTAAGCTGTGAAATCCAGTTCAGAGGCTGCTGAGCCAACAGAGCTGGGGGTGGGCAGCAAAGGATGGCCCATGGAAACTGGTCCACAGAAAGGGGAGTTACAGTGCCCAAGATAGCTTCAGAGACAAGTGTGGGCTCCACTGGTAGGCAGGAGAAAACAGGAATGTCAATTTCCCTGACAATTTTATTGGGTTTGGGTTTTGGGGCGTGGGTGTTTATTTTTGTTTTGCTGTGTTGCGACTTTAAGACAGGGCCTCACCATGTAGCCCTGGCTGGTCTGGAACTCACTGTGTGGACTGGGTTTTGTTTTTTCTTGTGCCACTGTGGAGGACCCATGGTGATCTATGGTGTGATGTGATCGTTCCTCCAGCACATACCTTGAGAGCTGCAGCATGGTGGTACCACAGTGCCAGGGACTGTTCACCTCTGTTTGCTTTGCACCTGTGACTGGTGCTGGCAGCATGCTCCTGTGAGCTCTGTTAGAATGAATGTCCTTGTAAAATGTTCTTCATCTCACCCTTCTTAGTCATACTCCCAGGCTCGTGTGTGTGTGTGTGTGTGTGTGTGTGTGTGTGTGTGTGTGTTGTGTGTGTGCGCCTTTGCACTAATAAACCAAATGAATTTTGTCATTGTCTTTGGAGCTAACCCACGTTTTTAAAATTGAGAGGTATAGAAATGGGCTTTTTCATTATTATTTGAAAAGTATAAATTTACTGTATCTGAAGAAGAGCTCGCTGTTGCTCTCTTTAGTTTCCTCTCAACCAATTTCCAAATGGATCTCTCCTGCCCCTCCCTGCTTGTGTTGGTTCACTGCTCCCCACACAGTCGCCTCTGCCTGCCTGCGGTCACCACAGATCCCTGCTCAGCCACTCAGGACTCCCAGGAAGCTCAAGAGCCAGCTAGAAGACTTGGCTTAGCCTTGAGAGCCATGCTCCTTCCTCCTGGCTCCCTGGGGGCTGTTGGACTGTGGGCTTGCTATTGTTGTGTCAGTGCTTTAGCTCGGGTTATGAGGAAGGATGAAAGTGACTTGACTGTGCCATCATCTAGCTTTCTGTGACTCTGAGTGAAATGAACACACAACACACACACACCACGTGCCCTTCAAAGCAGAGGTCGTGTTCACACTGCCTCCAAGTCTGCTAGCTCCCTGCCCTTCCATTTTCCCCTCTCTGGTGCGCTGCCCATTTGAGGCTGGCTTTCTTCTGTAGGTTACCCAGGGCACAATCGCTTCTAGCACCAAAAGCATCCTTCACCCGCGTGCGCACGTGCGCGCGCGCGTGTTTGTGTGTGTGTGTGTGTGTGTGTGTGTGTGTGTGTGTGTGTGTGTTTTAACCAAAAGAGATTGACAAGAAAGGTGTATGTTGGGGCTGCAGGATTCCTAGGATTCCTGGTGTAGTAGAAGCACTGTATAGATAGAGATGTTGATATATATGTTTGTGTATATATATATCAAACCAAATTTCTGATAGGAAAAGTATAGCTTTATGGTTGAGAAGGAAGAGGAGCCCTTTAGAGGTTGGAGCCAGCCTCGATCTGTCCAGTGAGCAAGTTCGCCCACATCCTGGTCCAGCACCTGGCCCTTGCTGTCCACCTCACATCAGCAGAGCTGGGAGACCTGAGGGCTCTGTTGCTCTGCTGCTCCCCAGCAAAAAAGGCGTGGGAAAGTGAGAGGACACAGATCAGAATGACTGGGATTTTCCTTCCCATTTTGCTCTGACCCCATGTATTGAGCTGCAGCCTGGTATTATATCACATTTCCAAAAAAAAAAAAAAAAAAAAAAATGGCAGTGTGAAGATGGTGAGAGAGAGCTGTAGCAATGCTTCCCTTTTAGCCACCTGTGAGTTCTGGGTGCTGTGGACAGAAAGACACACTCCCTAGGACAAGAACAGGGAAGAGGGGACCTGGCAGTGCCCACTCCCCAGTCCAAGGAATGAGGGTCCCTCCCCTCAGGTCATCTCACCTAGAGAAGTCTCTACCAGGTCAGCTCAGCTCATCTTATAACCCCTTGAAAGCCCTGGTCCACCGTGTTCCTTCACTGTACGGTTTCTGTAACAAAGTGTTAATCCATGTTAACCTGTGTGGGAGTTATGGCGTGCAACAGTATTTTCTCGTGTACCTCTGTCTCCTCTGTGACGTGTCCCTCTTTATTTATAAATGTCTACTTTTTTTTTAAAAGGACAAACCAGTGTGTCGTAGACCTCTCTGTAACCTGTTCCTTAGTCTCACTATAGCTATGTTATAAGGATGGATATTTTACTTGGCTTTAGAATGTTTTTCAAGAAAACTAATTCTTAACTGATGCAGTTGTTGCTACTAAAATGCTTGTTTTCATCATGCTGTCGTGCGCTTCTAAATTAATCATCATTTTCGTTGTAGAAAAATGGAGTGAATTTATATTAGTCTTGGAAACTAATAATAGCATTGTAAATTTATGAGATGATTTTAACAGAAAGAATTATAGAAGAATATAGTTATTTTAATTGTAATATTACTAACTGTAGGGTGAGGAAGGGAGTCTGTTGTGGTGAACTCTGTTATAGCTTGTTACTCAGTTTCTTTTTTGATCATTTCTTCAGTCTCTGAGGTGAAGCGAGTTATTAATGGAATCTGTAAACTCACATATGCATATTGTATATGTGTAGAGATGTGATCACACTGTCTTGGAATTACATTAAACTGTTTGGAATCACTGTACTTTGCCCAGCAGCTTCCTTACACAGAGCCTCACTAGAGGGCGCCATTGCAAGTAATGTCTGCAAGAAAGTTCTCTGGCCTTTCCAAAACTGCTCACAACCCACCCTTGCACCGAAAACTAGAGATGTCCAAATGGCTGCAGAGAGGTGGGCCTTGTGGTCATTTCACTGCCAATTACTGTGCTAAACTCTCCTGATACTCATTGTCTCTTCAGAGCCTCCCTGACCCCATCTGTGCCTACAATTCCTCCCCTGAGACCCAAGGCACTGCTGTCCCTCAGCTTGAAAACATTCCTCCCAGGTCTGCATTCTGCTCCTCCGCCCTAACTCCAGACAACCTCAGTGTGTCACAGCCCCATTGCCAAGGATGCCATTCCAGAGTGGGGGAGGGAGGGAGGGAGGGAGGGGGAGAGAGGGAGGGAGGGCGCACACACACACCACCTCAGCCTAAAAGATGCCACGCCCTCCATAGTCACAGCTCCCAGCTTCAGTGATTCATTTTGTTTGTTTTTGTCAAATATCTACAAAACTTGCCGTCCCTTTCTCCCCAGACCGTCATGCAGCACGTGTCCTGGCTTTACAGCTCGCCTGCTCGTGTGCTTCATACACGTGCAGCCATTCATTCTTTTCTGCCTGGCTTATCTCAGAATAATGTTTTTAGAGTCATCCATGTCATAGCATAGATCACAACTTCCTTTTGCAGACTGAAGAGTTCTGATATAGGGACATACCACATTTCGCCCTGCTTTCCCCTTGTGGCTTTTCTAACACCACTGTGAACTTTGGGGAGCAAAATTCTCTTGGAAACCCCTGATTTTGACTCTTTCAGATGTGTCTTTTTTTTTTTTTTTTTTTTTTTTTTTTGAGACAGGGTTTCTCTGTGGCTTTGGAAACGGTCCTGGAACTCGCTCTTGTAGACCAGGCTGGCCTTGAACTCACAGAGATCCACCTGCCTCTGCCTCCCAAGTGCTGGGACTAAAGGTGATGCCACCACCACCTGGCCAGATGTGTTTTATAGAGGTAGAGTTACTGAATCATGTGACAACTTCATGGTAACTTTTAAGGAACCATCAGAGTGCTCTCCACAGCGAGTCACTTTTCGTCCCCTTCTTGTGCTGGTCCTATGCTCTCCTCAGCGCTCTTGTCCCAGCTTCTGCTTTGGTGTCCACAGGGTCTTCTGCCTGCTGATCTTCTATGCTCCCTATTCACCCTAAACACTGTGGCCCCGTGCCTTACCTCCTCATCTTCTCACCCCTAACTTCTGCAGCCACTGCCTTCTTCTTCCACCACCGCACCTGCTGTGGACCCCGCTAGGTCATCCAACTACTCAGCCCCTGAGATCTGTTGGAGCAGACCCCCTGCACCTGCAGACCCCTGACCCCATAAACCAAGCCAGCAGACCCCTGACCCTGTAGTCCACTGACCCAGCAGACCCCTGACCCCATAAACCAAGCCAGCAGACCCCTAACCCTGTAGACCACTGACCCAGCAGACCACTGACCCAGCAGACCCCTGACCCTGTAGACCACTGACCCTATAGACCACTGACTCAGCAGGCCCCTAACCCTGTAGTCCACTGACCCAGCAGACCCCTGACCCTGTAGACCACTGACCCTGTAGACCACTGACCCTGTAGACCACTGACTCAGCAGACCCCTGACCCTGTAGACCCCTAACCCCATAAACCAAGCCAGCAGGCCCCTGACCCTGTAGTCCACTGACCCAGCAGACCCCTGACCCAGCAGACCCCTGACCCCATAAACCAAGCCAGCAGACCCCTAACCCTGTAGACCCCTGACCCTGTAGAACCCTAACCCTGTAGACCCCTGACCCTGTAGACCCCTGACCCTGTAGACCCCTGACCCTGTAGACCACTGACCCTATAGACCACTGACCCTGTAGACCACTGACCCTGTAGACCACTGACTCAGCAGACCACTGGCCCTGTAGACCCCTGACCCTGTAGACCCCTGACCCTGTAGACCACTGACCCTGTAGACCACTGACTCAGCAGGCCCCTGACCCTGTAGACCACTGGCCCTGTAGACCCCTGACCCTGTAGACCCCTGACCCTGTAGACCACTGACTCAGCAGACCCCTGACCCTGTAGACCCCTAACCCCATAAACCAAGCCAGCAGGCCCCTGACCCTGTAGTCCACTGACCCAGCAGACCCCTGACCCAGCAGACCCCTGACCCCATAAACCAAGCCAGCAGACCCCTAACCCTGTAGACCCCTGACCCTGTAGAACCCTAACCCTGTAGACCCCTGACCCTGTAGACCCCTGACCCTGTAGACCCCTGACCCCGTAGACCCCTGACCCCGTAGACCCCTGACCCCGTAGACCCCTGACCCTGTAGACCACTGACCCAGCAGACCCCTAACCAAGAAGATCCTCAATACTAGATTCCCCACTTCCTGAGCCATGCAGACTAATGGCCTGTGGCTCTAGCCAGGCCGCCTGTACTCGCAGACTCCTGTAACTGATGAGAACACCCCCCTTCCACTGCCTCACTGCCTTAGATTCCAGTCTCCAGGGTAACCGGAGAAACCTACAGCTTCCTAACTCCAGTTCCTCTCTGGCCCCAGTCAGCCTTGCCACTGCCTTTCCTCCCGTGTCCCGGCCACTCAACCAGAGGCCGCAGCACTTGCACAGCCCAGCAGCAACCCAGCCTCCACCCCGTAGAAGCAGATCAGTGGATCCAAACCCTCCCCCAGTACTGAGACAACCCCCAGCACTCATTTACTACTTGATTTATTTAGGGGTACCTGAATTTAAACATAGGCCACACAGACCTTGAGCATGCTAGGCAGTCACTCTAATGCTAAGGACATCCCCAATCCTATATGTTGAGAAATGTTGAGAATGTTGAGAAAGAGTCTTGCTAACTTACTCAAACTGACCTCAAACTCACTATGGAGATCAACCAGGTCTTGAAATTGTGATCCTCCTGCCCCAGCTTCCCCAGTAGCTGGGGTGACAGGCATATGCCACCAGGCTTGGCTCACCATTTCTTAAATATGTGTCCCACTTAAACTCATGGAGAAATGCCTTATAGGATGTCTTCTATGGGGACATTGCATCTGTTGGCAATTGTAAAACAATGCTGGACTCCAGGTCCCCTTATAGTAAAGACACTTGACGTGTGTGTCATTTGCATTCTGTTTCAGTGGTGTCTTGGGTTTTGTGGCAGTGGCTCTCTCAAAATCTTTACCAATGGACCAGGGTTGCTTGTGAGAGAAATGCTTAAGGCTTGATAGGTGGGAGACCAGAGGCAGAGGGAAGTGCCAAGGGGCAGCCCCACTGAGTGGGGGGAGGACTGCTCCATGTTTTAAGCTGCCACAGGTCTGCGAGGTATGGACAGCAAGCTGTGTGGTTAGTCCCTGTCAGGTTCAACTCCAGGATCTCTCATTTAATATGGGAAGCCCCTAGGCCTCTAGTGCCTCAGTATGTGACCTCAGCATGTGCAGATTAGCCAGACAGTGCCCCCAAACCCTTTTCATTGCAAGTATTGGCGTGTTAACTGCTTTTGAGCCTATTTCAATGTAGAAATCACTCCCTGAAAGGGACTAACTTCTATAATAAAATCTAAAATAACAGTGAGATGGCCCAGTGGGCAAATGTTGCCTGCTGACAAGCCTGAGGACCTGGGTTTGAACTCAGGACCCACATGGTGGAAGGGGACAACAAACTCCCACTGTCCTGTGCAAGCACACATGGCTCAACAGGCATGCACTAAAGTGTAATGGCGATTTCGGAACATACAAAATGTAATGTGTGACATTAGCTTTGCAGGTGAAGAGAAAAAAATGAAGAAATTGATTTCAGGGCTAGAAATATTGTGGTCCAGGTGAGGCCGACTAAAACCTGGACCAAAATGAAACACTGGAAAAAAATGAAGCCAGATGACTCCCCAGCTCCAGGAGGAGTGGTCACGAAAAGCCAGATTAGTGGTGAAAGCTGGCACCATCGCCTTGCAACAGGGTTTTGGGGGGTTTTGTTGTTGCTGTTGTTTTATTTTGGTTTGGTTTGCTTTTTCAAGACAGGAATTCTCCATGTAGTCCTGGCTGTCCTGGAACTCACTCTGTAGACTAGGCTGGCCTCAAACTCAGAGAGATTCCCCCTGCCCCTGCCCCCTGAGTGCTGGGATTAAAGGTGTGCTCCAAGGCATATTCCACCATTGCCCAGAAAGGTTTTTTTGTTTTGTTTTTTTATTTTATTTTTGTTGTTGTTTTTAATTTTTATTTATTCTTCTCAGCAAGATTTTATAAGAGGTAAAATTAAGCAGGAACCAGACACACATCACGTTGAACACCTTTAATCCCAGCACTATGAGGCAGAGGCAGGCAATCTCTCTGAGCACAAGGCCAGCCTGGTCTCCAGAGTGAGATCTGAGGGGAGAGGCAAGAGACGCTCCTCCATTTGAAAACAAACAAAAGAAAATGAAATTCAAAAGTTAAAAGACTGCAGAAGTAAAAAGGCTCAACAAAGAAGAGAAGGTAGGCATGGCTTCCACAATCCCAGCAGTCAGGAAGCTGAGGCAGGAAGAGCACCAAGAGTTCAGGGCCATCCCAGAGAGATGGTGCAGAACAGAGGTGGGGAGGGAGAAAGGGGAAAGATGGTTGTGCAACAAAACACAAGCAAAGATCAACTGAACAAATGAACCGGGCCTCCAGCCAATGTCAAGATGGCAGCATGGCAACCCATATTCCTTGAGGACTGTACCAATAGTTTAACAGAAAAACATGGATAGAGCCAGCAAAGAAGAAGAAAAAAGAAATTAGGCATCTCTGAAAACCTGAGAAGGACTTTGATGGATGCAGATGATCAAAAGTATATTGCATCTCCAAGGAAACAACATTGCCATGGAAACCTCATCCTGACACTACAGTTCAGGGATGCTTCCTGCAGTTTGCTTCTGCCCACAGAGCCCTCTTCAGACAGGTCCTAGGCTGGTATAGTAGACAGCTAGAGCTGGGCAGCCCACACACTGACCACTT